AAGTTTTAATGTCTTTTTGTGAATGCTAAAACAAAAAGTAGATCATAGCTATTAAGAAGAAGGTAAGGATGTCGGGTTCTAAAAACTTTACACAAATAATAATCTAAAGCCAAGCCAAGAGAGACTAGCTGCAGACCTGCAATGTAAGGACCCTTTGTTGTATAATAGCGTTTAACTTTGAGTGAAGTTCCAGCAGGAATCACAGTTTTAAAAATGCATCTGTAAGAGACAGATAATGTTGTGATAAGTAAAATAAAATCACCCAAAAACTAAATGATAAAACACGGGTTTTCTTGGTCATTATGTAGCGAAAAGTTGTCATGATCTTGGCGGTGACGGTTTGGTTTTTTCCCATTGCTCCTTGCTCAGCTGTCGAATTGGTTCTGCGGCTGATTATCGCCGATCATTTCCACCTGGTTCCTCTACTATTTAGGTTGTGTGTTTGCCTTCCATCAGCACCAGGTTATTTAGTCTGTCTGTTTTCCTGTTTATGACCAGTTTTCTGCCCTGAGGATCTGGAGTTTTTGCCTCGCCCCCGTCTGCTCTGTTTGTCTTATCTGATCCTGGATCCTACCGACTTCTGAACCTTGAACTGTCTTCCCTTCTGGGCTTGGTTGCTGCTCGGCGTCAGCTGGCCCCCACTTCGCTCGCTCTCTAAGAACTCTGGGGGTGTTGCCTGCCGCAACTGCGGTCAAACCTTCCGTCTAGATGCAGCTGTGTTCTCCGCGAACGGACTCAACTTTGAATCAGGTCAGTGACTTTGCTACAAGTCGTATTCAGCTCCACATCCGGTCACTGACCTGTATTCTACTATCCCTGCAGAGATCCGCCCCGGAGCAGACGAGCAGCCCTGCGCTCCTGTTAGTTTAAATAAACGCTTTGAACTTTCCCACTGTCTGTCTCACCTCGAATTCTGGGTCCAACATTCTGAGATCATTACAAAAGTAGGGAAAAGGTACGTTTAAGTGAGCACTTACCTTGCATAAAAAAACATTTCTTCTTCTCTGTTAGAGTGACAATTATAAAATGAATGTGTGGGCATATGAAACGTTCTGGTTCTGGTTCTATCCTGTGATTCAATCAGGAGGTTCATAAACTTTTATGACCTGCATCCAGTAGGTCATGAGGCAGAGTCACACGGTTGTGTGACTTCCATCCAGCCAGATGGTCATTTCACACTGTCCTATGACCTGCATCCTGCCAGATAATCATTACTGGGTTTTCTGTTTAAGACCCGCCCTATTATGTTGTAAACTGATAATAAAAGGCTTTGCTGTGAAGGGATCTGTGAGAAATGGTGCTGGTTTGGAGCCAGCAGTCTTTCTCCCCTGTGCAGAGGTTGACAAAATCCCTGTCTGTGTTTGATCATTTCGTCCTTTTAATCTTTTAAACTCACATTTCTCTGGATTAAAACCCAACATTCTCCTTATAAAATCCGGCATCACATATGTGCTATGCGCCAATCCTGACCCCTTGCTCACACTGGCTCCGGTGCGGTTACCGAGCCGACGGAGACCGCAACTCCCGCACACCCCCTCTCACACCGCCCTTTTGACTACGGTGCGTTGCGGCTCTGCGGCTCCGGCAACAGGTCCGGGGATTTAACAGAAGTTCACTTGAGTTCACGTAACTTCACGCGATAACACGGCCCAAATAAGGATATTTGCGAGAGCTTGTTGCGGAGGGCTCCGGCACGCCGCAAGGATAGCTTTCTTGTGGAATTTTCTGCAGCGCCGGAGTGTCTCGGTAACCGCAGCCGGACAGCTCAGCAGCCGGTGAGAGAGGTTTACGTCTTTTTAATGACTTGGAATCACTGCGGCGTCGCACCCACCGCACCGCAACGGTAAGACCGGAGTCGGTGTGAGCCTGGGGTGAAGGCTTCATTTAAAACGTCTAGAATAAACTTCCGGTTCAGCAAATCCCATAATGCTTTGCGAGGAGAGCTCACCGCAAAAATAATTCCTAGGTATCTGCCTCCTCTGATGCATGTCTTTTATTCTCATACACTTAGCAGACACTTTTTATCTGACGACCCTTGTCCATTTTCAAAGAACCGCAATGGGAAAGGTGAGCTTCAATGATTGTCTGAAACCGTAGCTCACCACAGATGTGCAGCTGAAAGTGCGCATGCGCAGAAAAGATAGCTAACGGGCTGAACACGTAGGACGGCCTTATATAAACATATCACCAGAATGATTGACAATTAGGATAACCACTTATTAACAGAGATGGCAAAAGTACTCACTTTCCGTACTTGAGTAAAAGTACAGATACTTGTGTTAAAAAATACTCTGGTAAAAGTGGAAGTACTGATTAAACTTCTTTACTCAAGTAAAAGTAACAAAGTACAGGCTTGTAAATTTACTTAAAGTATAAAAGTAAAAGTAGAAACCACGTTTTTCATGCCGTTGCCTACATTTTAAATGGATGTCTGCCAATAGGACTAGATCTCCGTTGTGTTCATTTTCAATCATCTCGTCGTCCATGCTACTATGCTAACGCCACCGCCACCAAGCTGCAATGATTTGCCGCCAATGAATACCGCCGAATCTGTCGATTCATCTTGTAGTGGTGCGTCAAATGCAACGTAGATTCCCATCCAATTAGATTGAATTTGGTATTGATGACGTGAAAAATAATAACGGTAACTCCATTGAAATGATTCAAAACTAAAGTAACGAGACAATTTTTTAAAATGTAAGGAGTAGAAAGTACAGATATTTGTGGAAAAATGTAAGAAGTAAAAAGTCGCCATAAAAATAAGTAGTAAAGTAAAGTAAAAATATCAGAAAAATCTACTTGAGTACAGTAATGAAGTATTTGTACTTCGTTACTTCCCATCTCTGCTTATTAAGATGATCCAACCAGAAAAAGAAAATCCTCCCCAAAAACTTTAATTGTCTCACAATTCTAACATACAGGTGCTGGTCATAAAATTAGAATATCATGAAAAAGTAGATTGATTTCAGTAATTCCATTTAAAAAGTGAAACTTGTATATTATATTCATACATTACATACAAACTCATATATTTCAGATGTTTATTTTGTTTAATTTTGATGATTACAAATGACAACAAATGAAAATCTCAAATTCATCATATCAGAAAATTAGAATATTGTGAAAAGGTTCAAAATTGATGGCCCCTGGTGCCACACTCTAATCAGCTAATTAACTCAAACCACCTGCAAAAGCCTTTAAATGGTCTTTCAGTCTAGTTCTATAGGCTACACAATCATGGGGAAGACTGCTGACTTGACAGTTGTCCAAAAGACGACCATCGACACCTTGCACAAGGAGGGCAAGACACAAAAGGTCATCGCTAAAGAGGCTGGCTGTTCACAGAGCTCAGTGTCCAAGCACATTAATAGAGAGGCGAAGGGAAGGAAAAGATGTGGTCGAAAAAAGTGTACAAGCAGGAGAGATAACCGCACCCTGGAGAGGATTGTGAAACAAAACCCATTCAAAAATGTGGGGGAGATTCACAAAGAGTGGACTGCAGCTGGAGTGAGTGCTTCAAGAACCACCACACACAGACGTATGAAAGACATGGGTTTCTGCTGTCGCATTCCTTGTGTCAAGCCACTCTTGAACCACAGACAGCGTCAGAAGCGTCTTGCCTGGGCTAAAGAGAAACAGGACTGGACTGCTGGTGAGTGGTCCAAAGTCATGTTCTCTGATGAAAGTAAATTTTGCATTTCCTTTGGAAATCAAGGTCCCAGAGTCTGGAGGAAAAGAAGAGAGGCACTTCATCCACGTTGCTTGAAGTCCAGTGTAAAGTTTCCACAGTCAGTGATGGTTTGGGGTGCCATGTCATCTGCTGGTGTTGGTCCATTGTGTTTTCTGAGGTCCAGGGTCAACGCAGCCACATACCAGGAAGTTTTAGAGCACTTCATGCTTCCTGCAGCTGACCAACTTTTTGGAGATGCAGATTTCATTTTCCAACAGGACTTGGCACCTGCACACAGTGCCAAAGCTACCAGTACCTGGTTGAAGGACCATGGTATCCCTGTTCTTAATTGGCCAGCAAACTCTCCTGACCTTAACCCCATAGAAAATCTATGGGGTATTGTGAAGAAGAAGATGCAATACACCAGACCCAACAATTCAGAAGAGCTAAAAGCCACTATTAGAGCAACCTGGGCTATCATAACACCTGAGCAGTGCCACAGACTGATCGACTCCATGCCACGCCGCATTGCTGCAGTAATACAGGCCAAAGGAGGCCCAACTAAATACTGAGTGCTGTACATGCTCATACTTTTCATGTTCATACTTTTCAGTTGGCCAACATTTCTATAAATCCTTTGTTTTTATTGGTCTTCAGTAATATTCTAATTTTCTGATATGATGAATTTGAGATTTTCATTTGTTGTCATTTGTAATCATCAAAATTAAACAAAATAAACATCTGAAATATATGAGTTTGTATGTAATGTATGAATATAATATACAAGTTTCACTTTTTAAATGGAATTACTGAAATCAATCTACTTTTTCATGATATTCTAATTTTATGACCAGCACCTGTATTTTTTTCAGCGTTCCAACTAAGCATTACTTTCCATTGGGCTGTTACAGAAAAAAAAATACAGTAAAACAGGATTTTCCACCCCATTCCTCCAGGTCTGGTGTCCTTCACCTTTTAGATGAGTCTCTGCTTCCGCACACCTTCTCAGTGTGCAGTTAAGTTTTCTGGAGTTCTCCTAACGACCTCATTATTTGACTCCGGTGTGTTGAAGCAGGGACACATCAAAAAGATGGTGGACATCCCATATCGAGGACTGGAAGAGAAGATCCCTGCAGTATAGTGTGTGTTTGAGATGTGAGAAATGATTTAAAATATTCAAAATATATTGTATGAACACTTTTGTAAGAAAGTCTACATCAGCTTTACGAGGAACCAGAGATTTTGAAGAGGTATTTACATTTTCAGCAAAAAACTGATTTGTGTTTATTTCCCCAGGGGCCATTACTTTAACAGTTGTTGTGTTTCTTACCTCTGGTATACGAACAGTGTAGGGCTGCCCATGGAAGTTTGGTGCATTATCATTCACGTCTCCAATCTGAATATTTACTGTATCTTTTACCACCTGAGGGAGGAAACAGATAAGCAATAAATATAAAACGGCTTTAATCAGCAAAGGAGAAAAAAACTGCATTAAATTATGACTGACCAGAGGGGCAGTAGGCTAAAAGTCAGTTTATTTTTGCACATAGACTTTGTTAAGTGAGACAGATGTCATATAAGATAGAATGGAGGTGATATGTAGTCAGGCTATATTCACAATGTCAGCATGTGTGAAGATGTGACACTATAATCACAGATCAGATCTGTCACATACCTCTTGAATGTCACTCACGTAGAACTCGACCTGCATTTCTGACTTGGTCTGGTGGGGAAAAAAAGAGACATCAGCATCATATTTCCAGAGAGAAGTGACACACAGGAAGAGTGCAGAACATAAAAAAAAAACTTTCACGCCTTCCTGCCACCTTTCAAATGACGGGGAGATGATGCATTTACTTCTCTTCCGTCATTCGGTGGTTTACTTTCTATTTTGTTCAACATGTTATTTTCTTAGTCCGTGCTGCATTCACTTTGCATCCATGCAGAGTTAAGGCGGTGTGTTTGTACCTCTCGGTCGAGCTGCTGTCGAAGCCAGACCACACCGGTGTCCTTGTTCACAGAAAAATACCGCATGGCTTCTTCTCCTGAAACCCCGTAAATGAGCGGCTCCCCCTCAGGATCCGTAGCTTTAAGCTGAGCAACGGAAGAACCTGCAAGAGAGTTCAGGAGAAAAGTCAGAAATTATGAAAAATTGAATAATCTTTAGATACCCTTTTTTGTCCTGTCTCGCAATGTGGCAACAAGAATAATTGTCTTGATGCCAAAAAGAGCCCACACTGCAAAAATGATCTCAAAATGAGTAAAAAATGTCTTAAATTAAGGGTATTTACCCTTATTTTGAGCAGGTAAATAAGATGATTTGCCAATGGAATTAGTATTTTTACTCTTAAAAGAAGGTATCTAGATAAAATGCACTTGAAATAAGACAATGCAATTGTTTTTTTCTTATTTTAAGTGTAAACTGTCTTGTTCCATTGGCAAAAATGCACTTAATTTAAGAAGAAATGACTTATTTAGATTTCATTTTTTTGCAGTGCAACAGATTTTACTTTCACAAGTGTAGCAGTATGGCAATTGCAAATATTGCTCCACTTGTTACATGCATATAAATTGCTTTATTATAATCATGCAGGGAGTTTTACAGTTTATATGGACACTGTAATGTAAATAGAGCAGAAAAACAGAAGAAGAATAAAGGGAAAAAAAGAGAAAAGATGAAAGAAAGAGGAGATACGCTGCAAAAAATCTAAATAAGTCATTTTTTCTTAAAATAAGTGCATTTGTTCTTGAATTGAGGAGGTAAAAAAGACATTCTGCCAATAGAACAAGGCAATTTACACTTAAAATAAGAAAACACAATTGCATTGTCTTATTTCAAGTGCATATTATCTAATGATCTTATTTTAAGAGTAAAATTACTCATTCCATTGGCAAACTATCTCATTTACCTACTCAAATTCAGAGTGAATACAGCTAATTTAAGAAAATTTTACTTATTTCTAGATCGTTTTTGCGGTGTAGAAAGGAGATAATGACAAAACATTTTCAGTCTGCTTCATCACCTGTAGCGAGATGAAAAAAGAACAGCACAACCGAAAGACATGGTACGAGACATACAATAAAAACACCTTGAAACTATCGCTAAAGTAGTATTATTAAGTCTGACATCTACTCTGTGTTACCTGAAGATATGAATGTGGGGTTTCTGTTTGGAAGTGAATCTCTGAGTACCTGGAGCCTAGCACCTGTAATTGTTTGTGAGGGTGAACTTGTGCATGAAAAGTTTATCCATAGAAAAAATGCTCAATAGTGGTTGTGGAGAGCCGAAGAGGCACCCCCCCCAGAGCACTGAGTCCAGCGCCGGGAGACCCAAAGCCCCAGGCACCCAAAGGGACCCCAAGAGCGAATGCACCAAGGAGGGGCCAGCCCCGGAAATCAGACCCCCACCAAGGGAGGAGGAGAGACAGCCTCGAGGAAGCCCCCCAGGGCCCGCGGGGACGACTCCGTAGATACCCTTAACAGTATAGATTTTTTTCCTTAGTGATTTTATTTAAACCCGCAATAAATGTACACCTAATTAAAAAAAACAGGCAAAGGAGTAATTTTAATACACATTTTTGCAATATTTTTCTTATTGAATTGGAAAATCATTCCGTTTTTTAATAAGATTCTTTAAAAATACAGCTATTTGTCAATTTCTTAGGATTAACTTATCAGATTTTGTTTTTCCAGGCTGCTCAGTGACGGAGTGGGTAGTAATGCTGCTTTGCAGCAAGAAGGTTCTGTCTTCAATTCCCGGCCCAATGTCTTTATGCATGTGCGTGGATAATTGTTTGTCCTGTTTGTCTCTGTGTTGCCCTGTGATGGACTGGTGACCTGTCCAGGGTCGACCCCGCCTCCCGCCAGTAGACAGCTGGAGATAGGCACCAGCAACCTTTGTGACCCCAGTTGGGATAAGCATGAGTGAAATGGTTGGATAGTTTTTCCACATTTGAGTAAGCTGATCACTTAAAGCCAAAATGTGACTATTACCAGAGAACAGTTCTGAGTGCTTTACCGCCATCCTGTTCAGGGTAAAAACAAAATGAAATAAAAAAGAAACTTAGCAGGGTGAGTGATAGCAAGTGCTGTAGAAATGTTTGAAAATGCAGGTAGGTACCGAAGTGGAGTTAAGGGTTTTATCCAAGAGGTGCACCTATCCATCAGCATGAGATACGGTTATAAAAAATGTTTCCTTTGATTATCTATGACTAGTGATGGGCGTTAAATGCATTAAAGAACTCCCAATATTTCAGCCTATTGATAGTTAGATGCGATGGCTCAGAGGTTGAGCAATGGCGCGTGAGGCACAGTTAGAGGAGGTATCTGGCAGTATCAGTGTGGGCGACCCACCTGCTTGTAGGGGTCAGGTGTCCTGCTAACCAGATGGCAGGTGAGTGTTGGTAGTAAGGAAATGCTAATTACCAGTGGAATAAATATTGCTTTGTTAGAAAGAAAAAAAGACACACAGGGTTTCATGTTGGTTTTGTATAATGGAAGAAAAAAACTTGTGTAGCTTTATTAGTGATTCTTCACTTGGTTCTAAACAAAACTCTTCAGTAAATCCATCCTGCATTCATCCAGAGCCATTAGCTCAGAATCAGAAGCACTTTAATGATCCCAGGGGGAAATTATCTTTGTTCCACGCTCCAGGTATACAAACAAAATATTACAAACATTCATCATCTAAAAGAACTAAAATACCATACAAAGAAATACAATACAACTTTCCTTATATAAATGAATAAAAAACAATGTTTTTAAGTATATCTAAAGATCAAATTGAACAAATGTTTCATATTTCAATGTAGATTCCATTTTATTTGTCCAACCCTATGATTCCTATTGCACTGGAAAAAATCGAGCTCTAGATAAGTCAGTTTTTCTTAAAATAAATGCATTTGTTCTTGAATTGAGGGGATAAAAGAGACATTTTGCCGATGGAACAAGACAATCTACATTTAAAATAAGAAAACTCAATTGCATTGTCTTATTTCACGTGAATACTATCTAATTATCTTATTGTAAGAGTAAAAATACTGATTCCATTGGCAAATCATTTCATTTACCTATTCAAATTAAGGGTAAATACACTCGATTTAAGAAATTTTCCACTTATTTCTAGATCATTTTTCCAGTTTGTGGTCTTGAAGCAGAAATTATAGACTTCTAAATTAGTCCTCTAAAGTGTTTGAGTGAACCACAGACAATGATGTAAGGATTCTCTCATCAGAAGAGGCAGAGCAAACAGGGAAGCAGTCTTTCTACTTTGTCAATGATGTTAGACAAGGTGCTGGTGAAGATTCTCAGTCATCCCGGTCATAGTCGTTCCAAAAAAGTCAAAAAAAAAATCCCTTGGACTTTGTTTCCAAGTTTGAAGACGTTTCGCTTCCCATCCAGGAAGCTTTTTCAATTCAAATGTGAGAAATAGTATTGAGTTGCTTTATAAAGCGGCCCAGCAAAGCCTTCCTTTTGATTAGAAAACATGCAAATTGAAACAGCTAAATGGGTCCACCCTTTGCAATGGGGGTCGTTTGGCTTCTTTTGTTAGCCTGCGATGCCCCATACCTGTCTGTCTCTGAAAGTGGGGTCGTTAAAGGGAATTGTTGCAGGTTAAATTGTTGTAACAATTTAGACATGGTGGGATTTTATCCCCAGTGTATTTTAATCAAGTTCAATTAAGAGCCTGCAGTGCTGGATGTATGATAGGTGAAACATTGATAAATTATCCTACGTATGCTGATGACCTGCTAGTTTTCAGTCCAAATGGTGCTAATTCAGGGCGGCCTCTTAACCCTTTCACTGCCTTATCTACCTCCATTTGGTTAACCAGGCTGTTAAAGAGTATCTGTAATGAATACAGAGAGCATTAATAAATAAAGGGTAATGATGTAAAAGTGCTATTTTGAAGTTTAGAACCAAGCAGAATAAACATTAGAATTATGTTTCCAATAAGTTATTACTGATGAAATAAGTGATGATGACATATTCAGGCAATGATGTAAGATTTATATGAAGGCTAACGAAAACTTCTGCTCAGGTTCAATAAAGGTGGGCATTTTACGAGCATAGCATTCAAAAGCTAGCCTCGTGAGACCATCCTGATCTCGCGAGCTTTCAAGGTTTCACTCGCAGATCAGTCTGGCTACTTTCCGTTAAAGAAAATTTGGAGCCGTTCTCCAAACGAACGTCCAATCAGCGTTGGCTTTGAGGCGGGTTGAGGTGTGACGCAACGAGAAGCGCGACAGTTCAGTCTAAAGAACATGGCGGCTTCAGCCGATGAAACTAGCGTTAGCATGGCTATCGAGCACATTTTATCGGAATTACAGAGTATTTCTTCACTGAAAGAAGAGCAAAACACTGCTCTGGAGGCTTTTCTCAGAGGAAAAGATGTTTTTGCTCTTCTCCTGACTGGTTTCGGCAAGAGTAGCCTGGCTTGTGGTTGTGTTTTCATCGTCGCTCTGTCACCAACATAGGCCAATCAGCTAACCAGTATTTTCGCCCCTTCCCAAAATTACTTCAACGGAAGGTTTCCAGATGGATATGCGGAGCAAATCCATCTGGCGGAGTCAGGTTATTCAAAAGCTGCATGCGGCATACAACGATTTGTGGGATGTCAACAAACGAAGGTGCTAGTAGGATGGTTTTTGCTATGGGTTTATGTATTCTTAATGTTTACTTTTAGCAAAATACTTGATTCTGGTAACAGAATAAATTTGGTGCTCTTATAGTTCTCATCCAGTGTAAGGAAGCACTAGCTTAAGAGTCGGTGCATGTATTGATCATTGCTTTTTTTTATAAATGGAAATCTTATATTTCTGCAGTTTTCTTTGTTTTTCTTGATTATAGATGTAAATTCTGCTAATAAAGACTTCCTACTAAATAATAGATGCTTACATAACTTTCTGGTGAGAGCCATGTAAGTAAATATGGGTTTAAATCACTGTGCAATGCTGATAGTGGACAGTTCATGATATGTCATTCAGTCCCTGGTAGAAGTTACCAAATACAGTAAAAGTCTAAAGATACTTAGTCAGAAAAAAGAAGACAAGCTGGAGTAAATCAAACGTGTCACTTGAGCTCCAAACCTCCTAAAACAGCAACCGATTAGGCTTCACAATTACCCCGCCCTTGGTTTTATTAATATACTCCATTTTCTTATGAAAGGGTTGCAAAAAATGACTAATTAATATAACGATTTATGAACCCCTTTCATTGTAGTCTAATGAGATTTATGCAAATTCAGAAGCTTTCAGTATGAGTTATAATTTGGTTGAAGACGGTGCAAATTAAGCATTTTCCTTCATAGTCATCAATAATGATTTTTCCCTGCTCCTCTTGGGGTTTTCGACTGTAAAATAACCATCCGCTTCATGCGAGTAGACATGCACTTGACTGAAAAACAAAACATGTAGACTAGAGAAGAGGGGGGAAAAAACACAGTAATGATAAAATGAAGTTTACTTCAAAGAAAGATCCGAATTCAATTACATAAAGTCGGATCTCACTTTGACGTGTTCAAATGTAGTTCACATACCAGTTGGAAATGTGAACTAAAACCAGGCAATTTCAATGAGGCATTAACTTTCTAATAATTAGTATTCCTGAGAATGCATATGGCGACAATGGAAAGGAAGGCACACACTGTACAAGTTTTTGCACTTTTTGGGGCGATTCTACAGTCATGCGAGACTTTTTTGGTATAAGGGGTAACGGCGGTTAATTTGCCTCTCACAACGACATCCCAATCAGGATTTGTAAGATCGGGAGAAAATCAAACACGTATGAAATTCAGTCGGCCCTCATGAGCAAATCCGGCTGTTGAAGCAGAGCTGAATTAGCTGATTTACCAGAAACTTGAGCACTGCACATGTGCAAACAAGAGAGTTCTCCTTCCAGTTTGATGCGTCCGACCAGCGCCATCTCTTGGCGCTGAGTCCGATGTGATCTGTCCTGCGCATGCGCGAACGGATGTACATCCGGGTGTCCATAAAGAATGTAAAATTACTAATTTCTGTCCTTAACTTACTTAAGAATTAGCCTCGTGAGACCATCCTGATCTCGCGAGCTTTCAAGGTTTCACTCGCAGATCAGTCTGGCTACTTTCCGTTAAAGAAAATTTGGAGCCGTTCTCCAAACGAACGTCCAATCAGCGTTGGCTTTGAGGCGGGTTGAGGTGTGACGCAACGAGAAGCGCGACAGTTCAGTCTAAAGAACATGGCGGCTTCAGCCGATGAAACTAGCGTTAGCATGGCTATCGAGCACATTTTATCGGAATTACAGAGTATTTCTTCACTGAAAGAAGAGCAAAACACTGCTCTGGAGGCTTTTCTCAGAGGAAAAGATGTTTTTGCTCTTCTCCCGACTGGTTTTTGGCAAGAGTTTGATCTATCAATTGGCTCCTCTTCGTCGTCGCTCTGTTAGTACGTCATATGCTTCGTTGATCTGATTGGTTTATTTGGCCCGTCTATCACCAACATAGGCCAATCAGCTAACCAGTATTTTCGCCCCTTCCCAAAATTACTTCAACGGAAGGTTTCCAGATGGATATGCGGAGCAAATCCAGAAAATCCATCTGGCGGAGTCAGGTTACTAAAGAATGCTAATACACGTCTTTAAAAAATGTTATATTACTTTTGTGAGACAATTTAGATGCTTTTTACATTTTTTTTTTTCGTTAAACTGCTCCTCTGATGTTCATTGGCATGCTAAGAGCAGTCCGAGAAAATATGATTAAACCATATTTATCTTCATTTTAGTTGTTTCTTTCTTTTAATTATGCACTATATACCATAAGGTTAAAACAAAACGAAAACATAAAACTCAAAAAGACTAGATTTATTTAAAAAGTTAGCCACCGCAAGTAGCATAGGATCCCATTTCCGGTGCAGATCAGGCAGAAATGACTGATAAAACGGAAAGGATTTTAAGGCAGTTATTTTCTCAGAAAACCTTTGACACATTGTATTTTGGTATGCTAAAATATGTCATTTAGGTCTTTTTAACAAAATCAAGTTTAACCCGGGTATATATCTAGATGTGCATGTGCTAACAGCGCATTTGTGCATCTAGATATACATGAAGGGATCGTGCTTCCAAGACGGATCGGGTAGTGACAGCGACTAATAAAGATGGCGCAGGTACTGCACGAAAGAGGAGGGGTTGCGTGACAGGTCGCCAGTCCATCGCAGGGGCAACACAGAGACAAACAGGACAAACAACCATTCACACACACACCTAAGGAGAATCTAGAGAAGCCAATTAACCTAACAGTCATGTTTTTGGACTGAGGGAGGACACCGGAGTACCCGGAGAGAACCCATGCATGGTCAGCGAAAACATGTGAACTCCATCCAGAAAGATGAATCAAACCTGGAACGTTCTTGCTGCAAGGCGGCAGTGCTATCCACTGCGCCACTGAGCAGTCCAAGTTAAATGTCCAACAGAGCAAAAAGCAATGATCATCTGTCCGAACGGTCAGTTAACTGAGTTTTAAAAAGTGCATGCACGAGGAGAAATGGGCTAGTGCATGCTTTTGCACTTGCATTTTTTTTTTTTTTATGTAGAGAGGGCGGGTCTTAAAAAAAAACCCTCCACAATACCTTTTAATGATTGAAAATATACAGTGTATGCTAACAGGAACAAACCTCTGACAGAGCCAGGCTTGCTATGTCTAATCTGGTACGGTAAGCTGCACGGTGACAAGAAACAAATATGGTGTCTTTCTTTTTTTGTCCTCAATTTTCTTAATAGACATAACAAATACTGTATTTTAATAAGCACAATATCCTTTAAAACAAGAGATTAAGTGAATCACTTAAATAGTGCACTGAAGACACCAAGACAGTTGGTGAAGTTGTTAGTTAGTAGGCTTTATTCTAAGCCTTTGTTTGTAAAACTGAAAATTTTTAGGATGTTTTGCAGGAGCAGAGGAAATATTCACAACCGGCTTGCAAACACTGAATGTGCAAACCCCTTCTAGCAGACTTATAAACTGCATCAAAAGGGAGAGCTGCTGCTAAAACATTGCTATCAAGTAAATGAAGTCACTTGGCCAATGATGCGGTTTGCTGATGTTTAAATAAGGCATTATGCAGGCATTTAGAGTCCAGACTGCCAACATGTACTGTATTTCTATGTAAATGACAAGCGGATTGAATAGCTTTTGAGTTTGAAAAAACAGTGGGGTTTGTGACAAGCAGATAAAAACACAGTCTGCTGAAAGCCGGTGATCATTTTAGTGCAATTAAAGATAAAGAGGGTTATATCAACCTCATCTGTTAGTGGATGGATGAAGGTGCAGAGCATTAAAAACACAGATTCATGGAGAGCACTAAAAGGAGATACCAGCCGGATACGGTGAGATGGTCTTCATGGTAGGCTTGATTTTTTTTTAGGACCTGAAGTCGTTTGTAGAATATTTTTCTGCCGATTTATTATTTCTGCATCTACTTTGTTTTTGACTGAAAGAGACAGTTTTGACCTGGCGGAGAAATAGCTGCAAACTGCTTCAATCTGCTGGACTATATAGATGTTTTTATGCATTTATTAAGTGCAAATGCATTAGGAATGTAGTGCAGCTGTAAAGCCAAAAGCCAAAGGAAATCTCAGAACAAGTCTTAAAAAAAGTATTATTTCCTGAATTTCCCGCTAGAGTAAATTCCCAGGTGTCCATCTTGTCGTCTTTGCTCATTCAATGAAAAACTGCAGTCAGTAGACAGATTTCTATTTAAAAAAAAAGGAAGCCTTCACACTTGAGAGGTCTCCCAACATTTTGATAAAAGCAGAGATGATGCAGTTACATAGAAAATCCTGCCTTTGATCAATGAGAGGGAGAAACACAGAACTACTGTATGTTTATATTTGGCAGTAATTACCTCACATATATTGTCATATTTACCATGAGTGTGTGCACAGTTGATATTCCTGTAACACTGAGATACTAAGCCCTTTTCTCTGACAAATGATGGTATTTAGCAGCAAGTGATGCCAGTACTACTGTTATGAATGATACAGTGCACATTAATGACCAGCGCTTCTCCGCCACTCTGCAACACTGCCTCCATGACAGGAGCAATGGACTGCAAGGACCATCTTTCATCTTCACCTTTCTCTCTCCTATTGTCCTTTCAGCCACCCGACTTTCTCAGCACCCTTACACTTCCTCTTGAAACAAAGCCATCATTGTGAAGCAAGGCAAGCACATAAAGCATCTGGGGGCTAAAATGAACTTTTCCATTGCGCAATCTGCTTTATGTGGAGAGTGTTTAGCCTCCTTTTGTTTCGTTTAGCCTCTACAGATCCCAACTAATCTGACATTTCTCATTTTAGCTTTAGAGATTTTAAAGCATGGTAGCTATTAACCTGACTCCGCCAGATGGATTTGCTCCGCATATCCATCTGGAAACCTTCCGTTGAAGTAATTTTGGGAAGGGGCGAAAATACTGGTAAGCTGATTGGCCTATGTTGGTGATAGACGGGCCAAATAAACCAATCAGATCAATGAAGCATATGACGTACTAACAGAGCGACGATGAAAACACAACCACAAGCCAGGCTACTCTTTTTGGAAAAAAACATCTTTTCCTCTGAGAAAAGCCTCCAGAGCAGTGTTTTGCTCTTCTTTCAGTGAAGAAATACTCTGTACTTCCGATAAAACTTGCTCGATAGCCACGCTAATGCTAGTTTCATTGGCTAAAGCCGCCATGTTCTTTAGACTGAACGGTCGCGCTTCTCATTGCGTCACACCTCAACCCGCCTCAAAGCCAACGCTGATTGGACGTTCATTTGGTCCACATTTTCTGTAACGGAGAGTCTCCAGACTGATTAGCGAGTGAAACCTTGAAAGCTCGCAAGATCAGGATGGTCTCACGAGGCTAGGTAGCTATTAGTACCGTGGAAAAATACATAGACATCCTGTAAAAAAACACACATTACCATGTGTTTTGTTTCATTTTATGTGAAGAAGAAAACACACAGACGGTAATAGAAGTGAAATAATTTTTTTTTTTTACTTCACAAATCCAAATCTGAAACATATTGCCAGTATCATGTTTCTTCTCCAGCAGGAACAGAGAAGAAGGTCAAAGAAGTCTGTTAAGCCTCTGTCACACCTTAACGATTTAGACCAGCGTATGCCTGACGTACAAAAACTCGTCCTAAAACGCTGGCATACGTTGGATAAGTTATGAGCACGCTGAAGTACACTGGCACACATCAACATACGGCGAGTACATTGAGAACGTTTGAGCATGCTCAAAATTTCCCGACTTATGCCAGACGTGGGACATAAGTTATCAGTAAGTTATCTGATAGTTGACAAATGTTAATTGTGAGTTACTCATTATTCGTGACGTCTAGCTTATCCAAAACCTATGAGTAACTTGTGCATAACTTATCAAGAAATTATCTCCAACGCATATCAACGTATTTGATGTGTTCCAGACAACCTTCATAGGGTGAGTGAGAAGGTGACTGTGATGGATCCTCCTTGAGTTCACACCCAAAGACAAGAATCTGCTGCGAGTGTAAACCTTCTTTCTTTCTTTTTTTTTATTATTTTTTGGGGGGCCCAGCGATAAACAGTAGCTAGATTAATACCGTGATCAAAGACATCTTTTCATGCAAATAGGGGGCATAAAAAGTTCAGGGATGCGTCTGAGAGGTGCAGCTTTAACTGATGCTTCGTAATGCCCATGAAATTATGCTTTTGCATCATATTATGGGGATTACACTGCCGTGCGTTATGCATAAGTTAGGATGTTGCTGGACATAGGTTCTGGATTTGTTTGGCGACAGTGGCGTTGGATGTAGGAGTTTGTCCTGAAATCGAAGGATTGACAGTTCAAACCCGACTCCGACTTTCAGTGTCGTTGTGTCCTTGGACAACACACTTCACCTGCATTGTCTACTGATGGTGGTCA